CTCTTTGCCACAAGCCCGAGACACCTTATTTCTGTTTCTCCCTTTCTTCCTTTCTTTCTTTACGATCGTTTAAGTTTCACATATATATATTTAAAATTTCATTTTTGTTTTGCAATAAATATTGTTCGAAAATCGATACAGATCGTTAGACTGGAGAATTTCCTGTGAACATACACCACTTTGCCTTCTCAACCCCGTAATACGCATCTCCTACCTTTCTTTTTAGGTGCCCTAAACGTTTCCGTTTGTCTTCACGATCAAACTCTGATGCTCGTGATGCATCGACGTTTCGCATTTAGGTCTCTCCATCATTTTTTTTTTTTTTTTTTTTTTTTTTCTCTCTCTCTTTATGCAGCCATCGCGTGCGTTTACGAAGGCACAAGCTACTTTTAGAATATGGCGTAGATCGTGCACGAAATGGAACTCTGCCGAGGCGAGAACGGAAACTACGTTACACGTGGATCGTTGTCTGGAGAAGAAAAGCACGAACCAGCACGCCCAAAAGAAATTCGTCAGCGTCGCCCGCACCGAAGCAAGGGGCACCGTCGAGCGTGCCCAGGAGAATCTGAGCAACCTGTATCGTCGACTACAACTCTATCCACCAGAACATCGTGATAACAACGAACTGGGCGAAAGCAACCCCGTAAGAAGCTTCTTTCCACGCGCCGGAGCTACTGGTCGTGTTACAACAATTATTCATCGCCTCTTCGAGAACCATCGGATAATACTTGTTCCAGAATGCCAGCGCTTTGTAATCGATAGCGTTGGAATCGCTCATGGCGATGTTCTTATCGATGATGCAGATACCGGGCTCTTCTTCGGTATACGGCTCCCACTTTTGCTGACCTGGATTGCCACTCTTGGCGAAACTAGCCAGCATCGCCATCATCACCTCGGCCATCCTCTTGTCAGAGTTGGCCCACTGAACGGCGCTGCCAGTCGCCGGAAGTCCCCAAACGAACGGCAACTCGAACATGTGAGGGACTCCCGCCCATTCCGGCACATCTTTGATCACCGACGGCGTCTTCGGCCTGTAGTCGAACCTATAAACGTACGCCGACTTCTCCTTGGACACCTTGCCAGCTAGCAGAGTGAGCCCAGCCGCGAAATTCTTCTCCGT